TTGTATGTGCTCTTGGTTGCCGTGCAGAGAAGTTTATGGGAAGGTCCTATTGTCATTTATTAGTCAGTTAGGAGACTGACCCTGCTCAATTGACACTGCTGTTTTGTGCTTGTTTTGGCGTGAGTTACGGCCACGGTAGCAGGAAGAACTTGTGTTTCTTCAAACCACAAGGCTATAACATCATAATATGTTGTAATATCTCTTTTTTTAAAGTATATGCTTACACATAAAATTGTGAAAGGGCCTTTGAAACGAACTTAAAACCATAACTTTCTTCTTTCATGTTGTAAAACTTAAAAATGGTGACTAGGGATGGAAAAGTAATTAAATTGTGACATAAAAGAGCAGCAGAGGATGCAAAGAATTCAGCTGAGGAGGCTAAAAATAATAATGTCTAAAGAAATACATGTATGCTTTAATAAAGACACAATTTTAAGTGGTGATTCATTGTGCTTAAGAACAAGTAAAATAATTGTTGAGATTATGACTGCACTCACCAAAGATTTAATATGGCTTTGTACAGAATGATTATCCCGACAAAGATGAGCCATGAGGCCGAGACACGGAGTGATGAGCTCATCATTGTGAGACTGTCTGTGAAAATAAAAATGATCTCATCATTACTAATGTATCTATAATGGCAAAAGCAAATCCAAATAGCTTCAAATTGCAGATCAATGAAAATCTATAGGTACATTGTTGACTCACATATTGATCATGAGGAATGTGATGAGTTCATGGAAATAGTTCATTGACTGGAAGATGCGAGTACTGTAGGTCAACTTCTGAAGCACCCGGAGACACTGAAAGAAAGAGCAAAAGGCCTTATAGACAAAAAGAGAAAAAGAAACATTGGCAAAGAAAGAGGTCTTTGAATGACTCCGACCTGCAGTACTAGTGGTTCTCCAGGTGTGGCGCTGTGACTGTGGATAATAGATGCCAGTGTACTTGTGAGGCTGTAGCTGCTGTGGAGCACCTCTCGACTCTCATCATCACAGGCTAAAACAGGTAAAATTACACAAAAAGACCATTCATTTTCTTCATACAAGATTTTTTAAAAGTATACAGATAACACAGAGAGCTATATTTTGAAATTGCTAGATATCTTGAAATGTTTTAGTTGTTGTTCTTGTACTTTGAATTGCAACGCTGAAATTTCCCGATTGCAAGAGGAGGTTATCTTAACTTATCTGCAGTAGTCAAACTCACTACAAACAAGAAAATAAATGTAGCCAAGTTTTTCCATTCAATTATTTTATGTCTTTCAACATCAAAATTCAGTAATTATTATTTTTAGATTATATCCACCCATTTTTTCCACTTTATCCGGGGTGGGGTTGCGGGCGTAACAGTCTGACGAGGGCGATCCAGACTTCCCTTTCCACACAGACTTGCTCAAGCTGGAGCATTTCAAATCCAATAGAACATATTTTTTATCAATACACAAATATTTTCCTACAGAAAATGTATTTATTTTATTATTGTTATTATTTTAAGTTTATTCCATCTACCCCTGTATATTCCCTTTCACAGCAAACAACTGAAATCTTACGCACTGTTTAAGTAAACTTTCTAAACTAACTAAATGCAGGCAGGTCTTTAAACTATTACTGATGCATTTTTACCTCACTGATATTAGGTGTATTACTATTTTGCAGCAACATCACAATGGGGATGTGCTACATGTATCTCTAAAGGTGGAATGTTTAGGAGTTACCATAGTGACACAATGCACACATTAACGCAGTAAACATTACACACATTAACAAAGTAAACGCTGGCAAAAGGTTTTAAGACTGTGCGAAATATATCTATACAAAATGGATTTTCAAGAACTGCGATTGTAGTTTTACGTGTGAGAGACTTGTTTAACAGCACAAATCAGCTCACTTGTTGTATTTCCAGCTAAATTAGTTCTTTCTGATCAGGTTGTGTTAAAATAAAGATCAGATTAAAGTGTAAAAGTGTAATGAAGCATAAGACAGAGCAGAGCCTACAGTTAGTGTCACACCCCCATGTACTGTTGATGACATCAGCTGCAAAGTATCAATTACAATAATTCATTCATTTACCCAGCTGTTCCAGTAGAGAGACGATGCTGCTTGTCAGGGCCAGGCTGGTGTTTGGGTTTCCAGCTAAATCCACAAGTCCAGTGACACATTCAGTGGGCAGAGCCTGGCTCGGGGTCAGCAGCTGCTCTGGGGGTAAAGAGGACACCTCCTACAAACATAAGGTTTAAATAAATAAGAGAGTTGTGTATAGGCCTGTCACAATTACAAATTTGAAGAGTGAGATATTGCTGAAGAAAATATAAATGATAATTCTGAAACAAATTTATGCCATGAACACAAAAACACAAAAGTTAAATTATCCCCAAAAATTAGTCTTTAATTAGTCATAGTTACTTATTCATCTCCCTACATTTCAAAATTTATCATTATACAGAAAAATAACACTAGCTGCTCCATCTATCATATACTGAATGATAAGTCAATATAGTAATTATCATTTAACTAAGACGAGTAGGCTGAATACCTCATTGTCCTCCTTATATAGTTTCTTCTAAGTGTATTTTTGTATCAGTTTGTATTCTGATCTGGCATCACATGATCTTCTCACATGATGCCCCTTAATAAGAACATCTGTTGTCTGTTTTAAGCCCTAATAAAGTCCTCATAAGACAAATTGCATTGCATTGGCATCCCAAGAATCAAGGACTTTTATTTTTGTAATCAGTGTGCCTCGGACATTAATTCAAGCCCCGTGTTACATACATTGTGCTATGACAGTAAGAGGCTGAGCTTGTATTTTAATAGTAATTATAATGACAGGCCTGGTTGTGTACAGTCAGTTAAGCAAATACTGTTCAAAATAAACAATTTACAAGTCTACCTTCTGATCATAACTTTTGCACTGTATGTCAATATTTTAAATCTACATGACAAACAAGTAATAAATGTGCATACAAAATTAAGAACTTACTTGTGATAAGGAAAAATAAACAGTAGGGATGTAATGATATTCAAGTCTCATGATATGGTATCATCACAGTATGAACCTCACGGTACAATATTTATTGTGATATCATGGGAAATTTTCACGATATAGTGGGGAGGCTCACAATTAGGGATGTAATATATTGAATATATATATCGAAATCTAATATATTTTCAAGATATACATCTCACTGTATGATATTTTTGCAATATTTTGTGGAGGCAAACAAAACTGTAAGTATGCAACTTTTTCCTCTTAAAATGCCTTGACAAGACTTCAAAAAACTAAGACTTAAAAGTGCTTACAACTGTTATTTCTTCATGTAGTCTACACTAAAATGGAGCAAAGGATCATGGTCTATGTAGTTCCCTCTGTCTTTTTTTTAGCTATTGCTGCACGATAACTCTTAATTTAAGCAAAGAGACTTGTAATTCGATATATTGTGATGGTCCACGATATTATTGTGAGAACTTTGACAATAAGATATCACGATATTTCGGTTACTGTTACATCCCTAATTGTAAGTTGTCTTTCAAAATCAAATGTCGTGCTGTATGTAATAAAAGCTTTACAGTGCTACTATTAAGATTAAAACCATAAATTTCTTCGTTTTGTACCAATGGGGTTTTATGCAAGTTTTAATAAAAGCTTACCTCGACTTGTTTCTGAAGTTTTGCTGCATTGGTGGCTGTCCTGCTCTCTTTGTACTGTTGGATCGCCATCAATAGACACTTCAGACGCGTGGTCATATCCATCCTTAACAGCAAAATGAAACCAAGTCCAAAGCGTTCAGAAAGTTTGATCAAGTATTACACAAGTTAGCAGCTTCAAATATGACAGCTGTTGTTGCTAACTAACATGGTCTTAGCTGTGCCGTCGTAGTTAAGTAAACATAGAGTGAATTTCTCAAATAAAGTTGTTCCAGTAAACAGAGAATCAATATCTGTGAGGATCGCTAATTAAAACTGTGCAATTTTTTTTTATCATGAAGGCTACCTGAAAGATTTTTTATTCCTTTTTTCACAGACAACAACAAGAACCGCTGACCACCGAAGAACCTCCCGCTTTACTTCAAACAGGCAGGACCGGCCCATTAGCTCACGGGGGGTGTTGAAAAGTTAAATAAAAATCAGGAAGTGTACAGTATTTTGTGTACATTGTGCCTCTGTAAATAATGATAAAATACACGTATATTTCATTTAAATAATAATCTACGCCAATAAACATGCATTATTAATTTAAAATGCTCAATTGGAACAACTCATCACCCCTAATCATGGCTGTTGGTCGATGCCACGTACAATTGCGTCCTGACGTTTCATCCGTAAGTGAGCGTGCAACTTCCTAAAATAAACAAAATAAAAAATAGGCTTAAAATTCATATTAGCAATGCTACTCTGGTAAGACGTATGATTTGTACTTTTTTAAAATTATTATTTTTAAAAACAACATTAAAATAAAAGTAATTCCGGACATATTAAATAGACTGGAGTCCAGATTTTATGCTTTAGTTGTATGGATCTAGTATCGTAGTCCCAAATCATTGACTTTTAATACATGTAATAATAAAAAGAACACATATGTGTAATATTAAATTAGTTATTAATACGTATTTAATATAAAATACAAAATTATCAAGCAAAAAGTGGGCAAGAAGACTGCAGATGCATGGATGTAAGGAAGGGCATCATGTTTAAAAACCTGCCAAAGCACTGAGCAAAATACATGTATAGTCCTGCTGATACATGTGGTGAATGTGTTTACAATCAACAGTTTTTTTACACCCATTAATAAATGTGAAAGTATGTAGGTCTATTTCTTATCCAGCTATCTGAGAATGTAGATTTAAAAAATGAGATACGAATGATGACACTAGGGCTGATACATCTAAGAAATTTCACTGCCAGAAATGTCTTACCTAAGCACTGCCAGACAGAGGACAAGTCTCAAGTCATCTTCTGGGTGTGTTGTTCTCAAAAGGGTGTGATTCCTAAAACAATTTGCGACTGTTGCCAAGGCGTCATGCATGGGTTTGTGGGTGTGACGTGAAAGACTTAAACTCAAAATTTTCCAGCACCTTCATCTCAGTCCACATTTGACCTCAAGACAATTTGCTGTAAGTTCAAATTCTTTCATTTATTAGTTGCAGAGATACTTTTTACTATGTTATGTTATGTCAATAGGTTAGATAGATAGAATAGATAGAATTAGAATAGACTTTTCTTTTTGTTTGTTTTTTTGTTGTTTGTGCAAGTCTCTGTAAATGTACTTCTTTGCATAATCTTTATAGCACTAAACTTGAAACTATGCCAGGATCAGAGTAGGACCAAACTAGGATTATAATAGTGTGAATCTAATTTAACCATTGCAAAATAAGGACTAAACAGAAGCAATACCAGAACTTACCCAGACTATACCAGGACTAAATCAGGAGTAAACTATGATTAAACCAGGATTAAACTAGGGTTAAACCAGTACTAAACCCAGACTAAACCAGGACTAAACCCAGGACTAAACCAGGACGACACCAGGACTAGACCAGGACTAGACCAGAACTAAACCAGGACTAAACCAGAAATAAACCAGAAATAAACCAGGACTAGACCAGGAATAAACCTGGACTACGCCAGAACTAAACCAGGTCTAAAACAAAACTTGCACTTCAGAACAGAATCTGGTTAATAATAACTTGATAACATTTGTGAATTTCAGAAAATGGATTCTGAAACACTGTGCAAGGCTAACACGACATTCGCATTGGCTTTATATAAAAAGCTGATAGAAGATGACAAAATTGGGAACATTTTCTGCTCCCCATTCAGTATCTCCGCAGCTCTGGCCATGGTTCTGCTTGGCGCCAGGGGCAACACAGCCACACAGATGTCCGAGGTAAACCCACTGCTGACTTGTGCTAACTGCCTTGAAAAATGTGAATGAATGTTGTCCAAAAATATAATAAACATTTTTCATGATTCTTTAATATGCACTGTGTAACTTTTCTTGGGGCATGTCTGCCACCTGCTTGTCTCCATAAAAATGTTATTGCTTTGTCTAGAATGTTCTGTAGTATTGATTAAACTGATCTCACAGAGAATTGCCCCTATTCACAGAAGGAATTATTGTATTTTTGAGCAATAGAAACACCCATAATGAATAAATTCTAGGTGGATGTGTTTAATAACATAACGTAACATTCAACATTCCAGGCAAAGCAATAACATCTTCATGGAGACAAACTGGTGGTGGACCCTCCACCAGAAACAATGCGCAGTGCATCTTTAAAGAGTTCAGGTAGGTCTTCTCGATATTTAAAAATTTTTTTAAAGGGGCATTGTATAACTATTCTGTTGGAGGGTACATAAATTTTTTGTCTTTAGGGAGATGTTATTGTTTTGTTTGGTATGTTCTACAGTATGGCATTTTTTTGTTTTATGAGAGGTGATTTAATTGTTCAGAAATACCTTAAGATCATTTATTCTTGCGTGAACGGGCATGCCTCTCCACCGAAATGATCTGTGCCTTGGCCTATTTGCCTCCATGGAGACAGATAAGGTTAATGCTGTACTGTGAAACATTCCAGGCTGAACAGTTAAGTACATCTATATGGAGACTAGCATGTGGCGAACCCTCCCCAAGAAAAGTTACACAGTGCACATTTAAACACCTTTTAACCTTTGACTTATTTATTACTTACATGGTTCAATTTGGAAATCATGTCAAACGCTGTAGAAGTAAGCAATGTTATTTAAATGTATGAATCTTATACATATATCTTATACACCCATTATATAGAACAGATCTTTATTAATTGTTTGCTTTTCTCATGATACTGCTGATTGGAAAAATTATTGCAACCATGAATCAAATGACAAAGCCCTTGAGGACAAGTGGACAAATGAGCTGATGGAAAAATCCTTTAACCCACCCATGAGTCAGACAAGTCAATGCAAATATGTGGGTGATATCAAATCCATGTGGGGCATGGTTGGACTTGTATTTCACAATCTTTTACTGTTATTTGATTTTGGAATGTTCCCATGTTGAACTTGGCAGGGCCTGTCGTTAGGGTGGCATCCGTATGAAAGTACTGGTATAATACAATAATTACCGGTAATGAGTCAGTCCCTAACTGGTTTACAACAAATTATGTCATAACTAGGCGATATTTTGTTAACAATTGTTAAAAAGTTGCTATGGCCTTAAGGTAAGGTCAACTTGGCACTAACATTGTACCATTTTTCGAAATGTAGCTTCAAAATTAAAGGTGCAATATCTAACCTTTTTGGTACCCTTTTGCCAGTCACTTGGCCCCATGGAGACACTATTGCTTTACCTTCAATATTCTATAGTATGGCATTAAACTTTTCGATATCCATAGAAACAAGCACGAGATGTCACCAGTTCAATTTACTGGCAAGATCTGTGATGAGGTAAAATAACTCAAAGTAAGTATTGTGGAACACTACAGGCAAAGCAATAGCATCTCCATGGTAGCAAGCAGGTCCTCTGAAACCTGAAAAGTTACAAAGTGCACATTTAAATGAATGAAAAAAGGAAAAATAGGTTGTTTATAACTGATTACATTTGCCAGTTATTGCTCCTCAAATGAAACAAAAAGATCCGAATTGCATTTAATATATTAACATGTTATTAACAATAACATAACTACATTTTAGCTGCTTACATCAGATAAGCTGTACTTATACTTATAAAAAAATAAATTTTTTGGCCATTAGTTGTGAATGGCTGCAAACAGGAAAACAATGTCAAACAAGACCTCAACCTGTGCTTGTAATGCATGAAAATGTTTTAAATTCCCATCACTTTTTATAGCCATATATTAAAGTGCTTACATTTCACTATATCCACCAGGTGCTGTGCCTTTTGGAGCCTGCAACACCAACAGCAATTTCAAACTTTTTTTTTAACTTCAACCTGTTCTTGTTAATTAAATATATGATACATTGATGTTTTGAAATAATGTCACTTAGTATCAGATTGCATAAAAATAATCAAAAATGCATCAACAAGTAAGTAGTGAACCCGCCACCAGAAAAGTTGTGCAGTGTACCTTTAAGTTTGAAAATAACCTTTTCCATTATAATATTTCCATCAATCTTTATAGCCATAATTGAAGTGCTTACATTTCACTATATCCACCAGGTATTGGGCTTTTCGGAGCCTTCAGCCCCACCATCCGGAGATGATCTTCAGTGTTCACTTCAGACTGACCGGCCGTACCTCATGCAGTCCCAGATGCAAACCAGGATGCAAATGAGGACCCAGATTCAGAGGACCAGCCGTCTGCCCGCTTATCTACGCAAGGTGCTCAAATCAGAAAAAAATTAAATTAAAAATTAAAGGTCCTATATTGTGCAAAATGGACTGTGAGCTTTGAGACACGTTATAATACTGTTACCTCCTCAGAAACTCTTGTTGCATCTTGTTTCATTCACACATGCTGAGTAATCCTTTATTATTAGTCTGTATACATCTTTAAAGCTCAAAAAGCTTTGTTCCACCTTGTGTGAATTCAACAAAACACAACTCTGGGTATGTTTTTGATGAGGAAACAACATCATAACATAAATCAGAATATAATATATAATAATATAGGTCCTTTAAAATAAGATGTAACCAACACTAATACATTCTTAACTATCTGGTTTGGGGAAGAGCATTTACATAAACTGTATCCATCCAGTTGTTGTTAAAATTCCTGAAGGTCATTTTTCCTGGGTACTCTTTATATAAATGCTTTTGTAACACACTTTTCTATGTATTGATGTGTTTATTGGTAACTAATATTTTCTTTCTTCTCTCTTTCTAAATACCAACAACAGGAAACTGGGAAACTCATTCGGTTGTCTATACGGTTGTATTAAGGAGCATTATAATTCATAATAAAACAGCTTTCAGTGACATCTGGTGGTGAAGAATCATATTGCAATCCCAAACTCGTGTGGCTTCTCGTTGCTCTTTATGGTGTTTTCTAACAAAATTCAAGAATTGCAATTGTAATTAAAACTGATAACGTTTGATTATAAACACAATTCATGCCTTTATTGATTAGTATTTCAATGTGATATGTATTTATAATCACTAGGTCTTCTCTGGCTGTTCGCAGTGCCTTAAACCCGAAGGTGGAAAAGATAATGTGGACGAAAGCTTTGCCCAGTTGCTCACTGAACTCAACAAACCCGAGGCCTTGTATGTCCTGAGTATTGCCAACAGGCTGTATGGAGAGAAACAATACACATTTGATAAGGTGAGTATTTTGGTAACATGTAATTTGTCAGTAAAAAGTGTTTATCTTTATTAACAAAGGAATTAATGGCTGTCGATTCAATATTTTTGTAGCTTTTTTTGGCTGAAACAAAGAAACACTATGGCGCTGAGTTGGAAACTGTCGATTTTGTGTCCAATCCAGAAGAGTCCAGGGTCCACATCAACAACTGGGTGGAGGAACAGACTCAAAGTAAATCATATTGCTGGGTTTCAGATTACATCAAAACATTCTACAGGCCAGTCAAATTTAATACAGATGGGGTCAGCTGAAATAAATATTGTTAAAGGTGCATTATGTAACTTTTCTGGTGGAGGATACATCAAACGCTTTTCTCCAAGGAGATGTTATCGCTTTGTCTGGAATGTTTCACACTATGGTATTAAACCTTTCTATCTGCAGGGAGACCAAACTAGACAAAGTTACAGGTCAGATCTGTGGATAGGCAAACCCGCTCACAGTTAGAATGCCTGTATTTCTGAGCTATAAAGCCACCTGTAATTGAATAAATGTAAGGTAGAGCTGTTTAATGTCATACTGTGGAACATTCCAGCAGAGTAATGATATATTCATAGAAACAAGCAGGCCCACACCCAGAAAGTTACAGAGTATGCCTTTAAACAATTCTCAGTATTATCTGGACTATTTGTCCATTCTTTATTTAGGCTATTCACAGTGTAGTTATTATAACGCAGGGTCGTAAAAACTGTCTAAAACAAAACTACTCTATCAACTTCACAGCACTGATGTTTTTGCATTTTTGGTGGTAGTAAAAGTTCATTTTGTCATAGCTGGGAATTGTCTTTATAGTCTGATGTTTTTGCGTAATTCCCCATTTGTAGATAAAATCACCAACCTGCTCCCTGCTGGAGTGGTGGATGCCTCAACCAGGCTGGTGCTGGTCAATGCCATTTACTTCAAGGGTAAATGGAACTCTCAGTTTAAGGAGGAGAATACAATTGATGGAGAGTTTCGACTAAATAAGGTAAATAATAAAAAAATATAATTCTTGCACATTATTATAGTGCATGCTGCCATTAACACATCTATACAGACATTTAAACAACAAACGTAACAAAGTAAAAGTGAAGTACTATACTTAAGTATACATTTTAGATATCTAGAATTTACTTACTTTACTTTACTACATTTGAGAGAAGGTATCTGTATTTTTTCCACTACATTTTTTAAATGGACTGAAAAGTTAAAGTATTTTTCTCCCTCCCGTCAGTTTGCCCCAGGGCAGCTGTGGCTACGACAGTATCTTTCCACCACTGAGTGTGGAGTCAATAAATAATGCACTACAAGGTTCTTTGGGTGTCTTGAAAAGCACTATATAAACCCAATGATTAATTAATAATAATTAATTAAAGTGTATGTGTGTTTTGTTTTTTTTTATTTGAATTGTGTTTAATTTGCTATTGTATTATTTGATATATTTTTCAGACTGACACAAAGCCAGTCAAATTGATGATACAGAAAGCTAAATTCCATTTCAGTTTCATTGAAGAGGCCAACTGTAAGGTATATGGCTACATGCTGTCAAACATTAAACATATTTGCATAGGAAACAGTGTTATTAACTACTTCCTTTACGTTTGACAGGTTCTAGAAATGCCATATGAAGGAGAAGATCTGAGTATGGTGATACTTTTACCAAATGACATTGAAGATGAAACAACAGGCTTAGAAAAGGTAAAAGCATTTCATATTGTAGAACTGTTACATCATACTGAAACCTTATTGCAATTGTATTTTTATATATTTTTAAGCTGGAGGAAGACCTGACCTATGATAAGTTTAAAGAGTGGACTGACCGAGATACAATGGGATTCGTGGAGGTCGAAGTGAGACTGCCCAGATTCAAGATGGAAGAAAACTATGACCTGAACAAAGTGCTGATATCAATGGGGATGGTGGACGCTTTCGATGTGGGCAAGAGTGACCTTTCTGGTGAGATTTTGCTTATATGGAGGTATTTTGTTGATTTTAAGATTTCCCTTGTTTTTCTTATTTATGGAACATCTAATACTCTTTTAGTCCTGATGTGGAATTCTTGTTTTTGAGACTTGAAATCCATTGATTAGGCTCAAATGTGGTTGGTAGCTTGGTGGTTCTACTATAATTTCCCCCATCAACCTAAAACATGCAAAACAGACAGAAGAATACTGGTCTATTGGTAGAACAACTTGAGCCCAAGTCCTGGAAATGGGTCTCCAGGCTCCTGACAAGTTGTCCCACCTTTACTTGATTTAATCAAAAAATTACACCAAAGAGCTTTACAGTGCATTATTCATTCACTCCAGACTTAGCTACTGTTGACTATTGTAGCCACAGCTGCCCTGGGGCCAACTGACGTAAGCAAGGCCGCCCGTCTGCATCACTGACCCCTCCAACCACCACCAACACTCATGCGCACACCACATTTATATTAGGCAAGGTGGGAAAAGTGTCTTGTCTAAGGACACAGCGAATCAATCTTCCAATCACTACTCTAACTTAGACTTAGACTTAGACTTAGACAAACTTTATTGCTCTACAAGGGAAATTATTTGGACATTATTTGGCCACAGTAGCTCACAACATATTATAATATCAAAGAGAAATGGTATAATAAATTCTAAATAAGTAGTAGAAATGGCAAGTCTCTGATGTCAAATAAGGCATAATTATATAAATGTACAGGAAATAAAAAATAAATAAAAAACAATGAGCCATTGTCGCTGTCACTTTTACATATTTAGTCAGTGTTTAGTATTTTATAAACATACTGGCATCAATGTAGTACATTTTTCATAGTCCAAAAATATAACATCAAATCTTAACAACAGACCTCCTCCCATTGTTGTATACTCTCTAAAATATCTTTGTAATCTTGTTTTCTCAGGTATGTCTCCTGCCAATGACCTGGTTGTGACTAAGGTGGTGCACAAAGCATTTGTGGAGGTGAATGAAGAGGGCACGGAGGCTGCTGCTGCTACCGGAGTTGTAATTTCAGAAAGAGCAGCCCTGATTACAGAAAAATTCATCGTAGATCACCCCTTCCTCTGCTACATTAGACACAACCCCTCCAAGAGCATTCTCTTCGCTGGACGATTTAGCTCACCTGAGTAAATGTAGAGAACCTGTTGTGTTGACCAGTCCAGAAAGGTTTTTTTATTGAATTAACTACACTAAGCACTAAATTCATTTAATTGTAATTGTGACATAAAATGGTCTAGGGACTGTTTGTGGAAATGAGCATTTTTGCATTTTCAGATACATGATAGCATAGGTATTTTCTTTTCATAAGGTATTTTTGGTGCATTGTCCCATATGAAAAAAATACAGTTCAAATAATTTTTGTCTCTTTCTGATGATTTAATTATAATTAAAAATGAAAACAATAAAAAAAGTATGTTATTATGAATGTATCTTATGCTGTTTTTATCTTTTGCATGTGAAGCACTTTGTGACCTATGTCTGTGAAAAGTGCTATATCAATAAACTTTATTTACTTAATTCTAAAAGGATCAGGTGAGATCTGTCTTAGCTTGAAATAATAGAATAAAAAGTGAAAAAGGAGACGGTGTGAATTATTCTGGGGGGAAATAACATATTAGTTTTCGAATCTAAATATCACAAGCCTCGCAAAGCCCATAAATGTCCTTCTCCGTGAATCCAAAATCTAATAAAGCTCCATGATCTCCTCCCGTAAGAGTCTCTGGTGTGTCCTTTCCGCATTCGGTCACGTGAGAATCAGGAAGTCCTGTCACCGCACCTTCTTGGGGCGTGTTCTTTTCAATAATAAAACTGATGGCTCAAGCTAAACTTTGTCTGCGAGGCTTCTGAACACAGCTGGTGAGTGGATGTATGGTGTATTTCAGTGTATAGCTGTGTATTCACATTGATTTGTGGCTATTCAATCAATTACGTAGCGTGTTTTTAGAATATTAGCCCAATATGTTGCTGCTCTATTAGAACGTGGTTATAATGAATTATTCAACTTAGTGGAGGTTTCAGAGGTGCACAGAGTTTAAAAGATCAGATGTCACTATCAGGAAGAGCAAAACTAGCCTTAAATCGCCTTTCCTATTCATCTTTACTTTTTTTTTTTTTTTTTTTTTTTTTTGTAGCCCCCTTTTTTAAATTTTTTTTTTTTTTACATAGTACTGGAAAGCTGCGTAGTTTAGCTTACTTAGCAACACACCATCCTAGTTGTATGTACGTTTTAATGATGCTGTCTTATGTTGTATTGTGAAGTAAAACTGATTAGTGGTTGACTAGCAAATACTTTCATAATGCTTGCTAGTTTATAGTTTATGAGCTTAGGACCAATATTTTTTTGATTAATTTGTTTTGTGCAATATTTCTAATAGGTTTTCATGGCGTTACAAGGTTATGAACTATTTGTACCAAATCTAAATAGCGTAAAATACATGCCACACACACTCTAGTTTGATTTTATTTATTTCACTCTTTATGCAAAGTCTAACACCTGTGCTTTCTTTGCAACAGACACCATGGCAACTGAAACTCCTCTTTCCAAGGCAACCAACACTTTTGCCCTGAATCTTTGTAAAACCCTGGGTGACAATGATCGCAGCGCCAATGTCTTCTTCTCTCCTATGAGCATCTCTTCCGCTCTGTCCATGGTCCTCCTTGGGGCCCGGGGCAACACAGCTACGCAGATGTCAGAGGTAACAGGCACACAGCCCATGAGTCACTGAGTCAACCATGTCAGAAATTATAAATAGGGGTTTTCTCTGTTGTGTTTCCATAGTGACACATTGTAAATAGTTGAGTTTGCGTCTTATCAGCAGCCATTGAGTGCAGTAGATGGTGTTATGCAATCTCTTGTCTGGCTACAGTAGTGCAAATAAATAGTATATCTTTCGCTTTTTCATACACCGAATTAGAGTTATCTTTAAATGTGATAGGTAATTTGTCCCACAGGAGATTTCCCATGGCACATATCCAAGTAAAAACAAGTGGGATGGGCCAGGTTATGTTAGATTACATTAGATTACATATTTTATCATGGGAATAAAATATATCTTTCCAAGGAAAAGATGTGTTAGTGAGAGTGATACTGATTTGAAGGCGCACTGTGTAACTTTTCTGTTAAACACCCGTAATGGATAAATGCTACAGAGATGTTTTTAATGTCATTCCATGGAGCATTCCCGGCAAAACAATAACATCTCAATGGAGAGAAGCATTCCACCAGAAAAGTTACACAATGCACCTTTAATTTGTTGCTTATAGTTTTTAGGATGCAAACCTATCCAACACAGTGACGCCGACAATATGAATAAAATGAGAATGCGGTAGTGTGTCTCAAAGCCACACCTGGTCTGTCTGGAATACACCCAGGTTCAGACCATGGGCCATTGAAATGTGAGAATGTGGAAGGATTACCTGAAAACAGGGTAGTAAAGGCAGTTCATTCATTCTCTCTAACATGTAGTTATGTATGTATCCATGTAGTATCTTATGCATTTTTTTAGTTACATGTAAGTGTGCTTTTTACCCTGCACGGAAAATAGTGGTGATGATGCTTAAATCTTAAAAAATATACCCAGCTTTTACAAGTAGCTAATTTTTTTTTTCACTCAGAATAATTGCTTTTGACATTATCCTTTATAGTATGTTTTGCATTCAACTCAGTATGTTTGTATAGTCTCAAATCACAACAGCTGTCACCTCACTCAGCTTCACAGAGTCAGCCTTGTTCACATGCGTAGCAAAATCTGACCTTTATGATTAAAAAAACGTAATCAAAGGGACTATGATCAGAAAGAAATTAGATGGTTTGGTTTTTTACATGTCATTTAAACAACTCAAAATGTACACCCAGAGTTGATTTAACCAACAGAAATGTTAGAAAATCAAACAATGAAGCTGTTGTCAACAAAAGCAATCATTGTTATACTTTACTTTGATTATCCATGGGTCTTGTCATAATGAAACATTAGGGCCGTTGTTAATGCCATAGAGGCTAATAACTTGAAATATTATTATCTTTTGAATGTGAAGAAGTCCTCAAAATGTTGCATATGACAGGAAGCTGAAATTCTATGAACTGATCATTTTTCGCAACCAGCATAATCTGTCTTTCTTGAGTAAATGTGTCCAAACATGAAAATCTGTCATTGCAATAAATATGATAAATGGAAAGAAGGATTTGCGGCTGCTGTTACATTTCAGTTGGGTTGACTCATGTTCTTGTTCATATTGTCTGGAAAAGGAAAATAGTCTTTGGCCATAAATTCCATAGAAACTGAGTGGTCTTACTTGAGTCACACCTGATGATGAAAGTGCATGACCTGTATAGAGAGAGGGTGTAGTGTTGTGAAAGGGACAAAGGTTACGACTCACAGCCAGTTCCTAGGAAAACCATATCAGAGTTTTATAGTTTTAGTCAGTTCAGTCACATTTACCCTTGACATGCCACCAAGAAATAAGCTGAGTTAAGGAATTGCATTGTATTGTGAAATCATAGGTACTTGTTATGCACTTAGGTCAGGAAAGACCAAGAGAGACTGGCTGCAAACCACCACCGGGATGCACCTCCACCAGCATGCCCCTCACCATTTTTAATGCGTTTACTTTAGTAATGACTTAATTGCACTTTTTATCAGTTGTTGCCTTTGTTCATTGTATGTTAAAGGTAATTAAAGATGTTAAATGTTATTTAAAATTGTTTAGAGTGAAAAATTTTAAAGACAAATACATTTTTTTTTTGTTTTTGTTTTTTATTAACTAGCTTTGTGTTGTCTCTGCTTTACTCTGCTTGTGGAGGTTAATTCACAGTAAAAAAAAAAAAAAAAAAAAGATCTTTAATTGTCAACACAGGCCTACATAAGGGCGTAATACATCAGTAAATTATAGTTATTACCTTAATCTAAATTACAACTATACTATCTTGGGAGGGTGCTCAACCAACAGCGCCCCCTGCCCTGTCAATCCAGTTATGCAGCACTTATTGCCTTTTATTAGTAGTACAATATGTATAGTATAAAGCAGAATGACTGTGCGCACACTCTCTGGTGGCTCCTTTTCAAGACTGGTTTTGTTTAATTATGAGTCAATTTAATCACAATGTTGTCGTCCTTTGGATTGGTTTAGAAGTTGAAGTCATGGTGTAGTCTTTTTTTTTTTTTAGACCTGGTTTAGCCATAAATTAGATGTGGAATAGTTCTGCGTTAGATTGGTGAAATATTTCCTTTGTATTTGGTGTATATGATTTGAGAATAACTACAGTGCACTCAAGGTTCATTCATATTTTGTAATTATGTTATGTTAGTTTATTTAATCTACTTCACAGATATCCTCTATGTAAGGTGGCCTTCACATTATTTGGGTAATAATGAAATGATACCAATGTATTGCACTGTAGGTCCTCTGCTTCAAAGAGGCAGAGAAGCCGCCACAGGCCGGAGCAATGCAGAAGCAAATGCCCATGCAGATCCCCCAACACGTGCAAAATTTACTGCCACCACATCTGAGAAAGAGGGTAAACAAAGAGATAATGTACAGGACTGGGCATTGGGCTAACAGGCTACAGCAGTGTTGTGGTGGTGGGAATTTCAATGGGAGACTTCTAAATGTATTCCTTTTTGGATTTGTTTTAGAGCTGAACTGGAAACACAGGAAAAGCAGCCTTTACTTCAGCAACAATCTATTGTGTGTCCATTAGTGTAAACCGAAGTGTTAAGTAATGCATTGGAATTGGATCCTTGTTACGACCTAAATATTTGTCCTTAAGAGGCATGTTAATTAGGCCTGTCATGATAATTACTATACTCAAAAGTGAAATGACTTTTAATATATTTTAATGTAATAAGATTCAATTTGAGCTGTAAATTTGTTCCAGCTCAGGTCTTTTAATGATACAGACTATTTTAAAATGATTTATGGTTTATTGTTTTTGTGTCAAAGGCATAAAGTAATCTTAATATAACAATTTATCGCTATATTTCTCTGTAGCAATATATTGTGCTTCAAAATTTGTTATCGTGGCAGTCCTAATGTTAATATGTTGAGCTGAGGTTACACTAATTTGAACACACACATTACTGTATCCATGTGCTAACATTAATAATGGACTAACAATATGTTCTTTTTGTGGGGTTAAGTCCATGAATAGAAGCTTCAGTGCATTTTGACCAGTCTGTAATATTTGAAAACAACTCTACAACTCAAACAGCATAAGTTACTAAATGTATGTATGTATGTATGCATGCATGTATGCTTTTAGTACTATTTTAATTGGATACTATTTTCTGTTATTGAAATACTAAAAGTTCATACATGTTTCTATTTATACCTTATCTGCTATGCTTAACTGCCTGGGATTCAGAGTACCAGTTCTATTTTCAGCATTGTTTTATTTTATTGTAATATTATTGACTGGTCTAAGTACTCTTTCATTGCATAGGGATTTTGCAGAGGTTCTCCTATATTAAGGTTTTCAAAGGCGTTTGATGGCATTCTGCTGTTGGTACTAACTATCTTTCTATTTCATTTTACAAGAAAGGATGGGGCATTACAACTACTTTACTTTAAAGGTCCTATATTACTCAAAATTGACTGTTGTGAGATTTAAGCCATGTAATAATGCTGTTATTGCATCATAAACATACTCGGAGTTGTGTTTTGTTTCATTCACACGTTTGACTAATCCTTTAGTATTAGTCTGTCTACATCTCCAAAGCTCAAAATGCTCTGTTCCACCTTGTGATGTCATGTATTGGTAGTTTTCATGTTAACAGCTACCCTTTACCTTTAGTTCAGTAAAGATTGGCATTGGCAATAATTGGCTGAAATTATCCAAATGATTCTAGTGAAGGTGTATGCAGGGTTTGTGTGTTAAATGTGAAAAACAAAACTCCAGGTATGTTTGTGATGAGGAAACAATGTTATAACAGAGATCAGAAACTAGTGTAATATGGGCCCTTTAAATATCAAACTATTGTGTTATTAAACTTATTTATCTTATTTCTCCACAGTGCCTCAAAACGAAGGACCTCTCTGATGATGTACACTCCAGCTTTGCCACTCTTCTGCAGGAGTTTCACAAACCTGACGCACCCTACACCCTCAGCGTCGCCAACAAACTGTACGGAGAGGAGAGTTACCAGTTTGTTGAGGTGTGTGTCAATACAAGCAGGGACGTTCTTAGCATGCCAGTTAATCAAATATGGTGTAATCTTACCCTTTGTACATTATGTTCATTAATCACTAATAAGTAAATTAAGTTGATCCCAAAAATCTGTGTTGATAAATGACTGCAGTGTTGTAAGCTGGAACCACATAGCTCTATTGTCAAACTATGAATGTGGTGTTTGTGTGAGTGGCTGTGTATGGCTGTGTGTGGCTACTATAACTAAACGACTATATAGATCAGATGATATTATTGTATTATTATTGTATTATTAAACTACATAAGAGATGTAAAGATAAATAGTCTAGTTAAAAAGAGTTAGAAACTCATAACATTCTTAATAAGATACTTCTTACTACTTACTATAATAATGGCTAATAATTCATAACATCTGTACCAGATTGTTGAATGTCAATGAACATAGGCTATTTATAAAGATGTTGTTGTATTATTCTTGTTAGAAAGCTATTTGGAAAATGAAATGCAGCTCACAGCTTCTAATTTTATGAGTCTGTAGATCATTGTAGGAATTATACATATTTTGCTATAGGGGTGTGCAAAAATATAGAAATATTGATATATTGTGGCACTAAATTTAGTGATACAGTATTGTTATCGTGGGCTGCTGTTTATACAAGGAGTGGTTTAACACATATATGCCAAAGAGTATCATGTGCAGTATATAAGTTATCACATGTATCTCTATATCATGATAATATTGTATTGTGAGCCATGTATCATATCGAATCTGGAGGAACTCCATGATCCCCAGCCCTATTTTTTAATTATTATTTTATCAAATGCTATTATTAATTTATTTTTTAACATTAACATTCCTCATCAATATCATTATCACATATCTATTGTTTATATCTGACACAGGATTACCTGGGAGCCACCCAAAAGTACTACAAGGCAGAGCTGCAGACTGTGGACTTCATCAATAAATCTGAGGAGGCCAGAGTCACCATAAACACGTGGGTGGAGCAGCAAACACAAGGTAAAAACTTATTATTGCAAATTTTGGTGCATCACTTTTTATTGATTAAAAGTGTGGTATTTAACTTTTCAGTTGAGGGTCCATCACCTGATTGTTTCTGTGGAGATGTCATTGCTCTGCCTGGAATGTTCCACAGTATGACATTAAACAGCTCTACCTTACATTTACTGAATTACAGGTAGTTTTAGTTCAAAATTACTGAGAAAAACAGCCATTCTGACTGTGAGCGGTGCTGCCTCCACAGATCTGACCTGTAATTTGGTCTAGTTTTGTCTCCATGAAGATAAAAAGATTTAATACAATACTGTGAAACATTCCAGACAAATCAATACAATCAACATCTCCATGGACAAAAGCATTTGACGGACCATATGCCAGAAAAATTACACAATGCACCTTTAATATATTGTATTTTTAAATGTGTTACTTTTTCTCAGGTAAAATTAAGGACGTTCTAGCCAAGGGTGTCGTGGATAACCTGACGAGACTTGTGCTCGTCAACGCCATTTACTTCAAAGGAAACTGGAATAAACAGTTTAATGAAAGCTCTACTCATGATGGTCAATTCAGAATAAACAAGGTGAGTGCTAATCTTTAAAAAAAAAAAAAAATCTGTTTGGACAAAAAAAAATACATTTGTTTGGTTTATGTGTTTTTGAGAAATAAAACCTCTTGGTATTGAATAAATAAAGTAGATAAATATTTCAGCCAAAGCACATCTCCATGGAGACAAGCAGGTCAATCAAAAAGTTACATAGTACACCTTTAACCAAATCTTTCTTTCTAATTGTGTGCCATTTATAAGACTGATCTAGTTTAATAAGAAATGAACATAACATTGTTCACAATCTTCTACAAAGTTATTGACTTATATTAGTAGCATACCATTATTTTGTAGTTAGACATTAGACTGGAGGTGGCACGTCGCTTACATCATCCCATGGAAATAGAAAGTTAAAAACATATTACAAATAAGCGTCAGGTTTGTGGAGATGCAAGCCTGCTAGCTCAATAAATACAACAAAGATGTAGTTTTAGTCTTTTTTTTGTTGTTGTTTTTAACCAAGATCTTACATACTGTGGCTGTAAATATGCAGTGTTATGTTATGGACAACCAACAATATTCGTATACCATTTGGTTAGGAAAATCTGCCACAAGACTCTTGAACTACATTTGAACTTTGTTGTTTGTGTATTTTTGCAGAATGAAACTAAACCAGTGAAGATGATGCACCAAAAATCAAAGTTCCCCCTCACATTCATAAGTGAGATTAACTGTCAAGTGAGTTTTCTAATGTTTTCTCCTGTATGATATACTTTATATAAGTATTTTTGTCTGCATTGACATTATAACTAACATTATTTCTCTGTAAACCAGATTATAGATTTGCCGTACAAAGGAAAGGAGCTCAGCATGCTCATCTTTCTGCCCGGCAGTATTGATGATGGTCTGGAGAAGGTATGCCATAGTGCTGGTTTATACTTAGTTAACCTAAACAGTAAAAGACATTAGACTTGGAGAAAAGCATCGAAGGACTTAAAAACGTCCTTGCGTGTGTTACAGCTTGAGCAGCAACTCACCTACGAGAACTTTGTGGAGTGGACCCGTCCTGACATGATGGACGAGGTGGAGGTGCAGGTGGGACTCCCTCGATTCAAGATGGAGGAGAATTATGACCTGAAAGACGTGCTGATCAGTATGGGCATGGTGGACGCCTTCAGCATCAGCAGCAGTGATTTCTCTGGTAAGAAAATAATCCAACCCATGGACCTTCTTCTGTCCACTGATTGTTTCAGAGTGAAGCAAATCTATTCCCATCGCCATAGTAATTAACAATTCAAAACAAAAACAGACTGTCTGTCTCTCTTAGTCTGTGCAATAGATTGTGAATGCTTTCCATTTAGATTTCCATATTAGGAATACAAATTAATTTACAGACAAAATAGCAAAATAAATACACCAGGATCATAGAGCAGGCTAATATGAACATTTTAAAACCAGAACGACAAACAAAGAGAATAGGAGAGTCAATGAAGCCAGAAGTACAATGTTTTAATGTATGTTTTTCATCATTTCTTTCAGGCATGTCTCCAGCCAATGACCTGGTTCTGTCTAAGGTGGTGCACAAAGCGTTTGTGGAGGTGAATGAAGAGGGCACTGAGGCTGCTGCCGCCACTGCCGCCATCATGATGTTGCGCTGTGCCATGATGCCCGCCCGCTTCATCGCAGATCACCCCTTCCATTTCTTCATCAGACATAACGCCTCCAACACCATCCTTTTCGCTGGAAGATTCTGCTCCCCTTAGTAAACTATTAGCAAAAACATAAACCAAAGAAAGGGAAGTTAGTTCATTATTTGGAACTAACTGTACAATAATCCAGCTGCTCTAGACTTTGCATTATCCAGTGGTGGAAAGGAACAAAATAAAAATACTGTACTTAAGTAAAAAATGTAGGTATATGTAAATTTTAAAGTGCATACATTTGACTTTTACTTGAGTACATCTGAGAGGAGGTATTTCTACTTTCTACTCCACTACATTTTTGAACAGGACTGAAAAGTAAAAGCATTGTTTATTATAATTTGAGATGTGCTGGAAAGGCTGAGGGGTTTATTTTGAACACATTTGTAGTTTGAGCAAACAATAATAAATAAAAACGGCTAGAAAAAAAAACAACAACAATCAGATCAGTTGCTTCTATTGAACAAAATGCAACTCAAATCTTTATCAAAATCACTACATTTGAAGCTTTATTAGACCTGAAAATATGAGCAGAATACTTTTACTTTTTACTCTTTAAGCACATTTTTACTTTTTTCATGTGATACTTTTACTTTTACTTGAGTATATTTTTGGTCTGGTATCTGTACTTTTACTTAAATAACAAAACTAAGTACTTCTTCCACCACTGGCATTATGTATCAGTCACCAGCCTTCAGCAACTTTCACCAACATGCCTTTAAACTCCTATAATTGTTGATATTCTTTTCAACTTTTGCACTAGCTTTGAAGTTACCAAAAACAGATGGCTGCCTTACAATGCTACACGTACAATGTAAAATTTCACATGAGCAACAAAACAACATTGCAAATAACAAAAATCACTCCTCAAAGAACCCCTGGAAAAAACCCTGAAAGAACCATTACATTTTGATGTCCTGAAATCCCAACATTTTTAATACTATGTCAAATTAAATGTAAAAAAAAAAAAGTACTGTTCTTGTCTTTAACCTGTTTACACAATTTGTCTGAATGTATCACTGAACAAATGGAGAGGTTTTGCATTGTAAAGTATGGGTGCTTCATCTTATCTGTTGGCCTGTATGAATGACTTTATTGACTATATGCTGTACGCCTTTACTAAACAGCCCTCTTTATCTTATAGGGTTCACCCACTCAAAGAATTCATCTACACTGCCTTGTGTTTTATCATGTGCACTTTACTTGTATGTATACTAACACACTTTTGTTCACACATAGAGGATTTTATGCAATGACATTAAAGGACTGCACTGCCTGGCATTTATTTCATTGGCGTATTTATCCAGATTATCAGTAATAATGTGCAATAAGTGTGAATTAAAGTGTGGTTTGAAAATCTTAAATGTAATTTCTGGCAAAACTGAGGCAGTCTTTCGTTGACTGTTATAGATCTGTACCTTTGTTATCTATGGACGGCAAACAGATGTGGTTATACCTGGTTAATGTTCTACTTAAAGTGAGAGCAATAAAAATAACAGTTGTCTTGTGTGTAGGGAGTTATGAAAATTGACCATAAATGAATCATGGAACTAACTTAAGAATAAAGCTAAAACATTATTAGGTAAACATGATAACTAAACATAATCTAAATGGGCACAATGTGTTTTATACAATACTCACTGAAATTAGCACAAATCAATATAAATATTTTTAAAGTATAAAAATATATGCTATAATTGCCCATATTATTACAGTGACTAATTAGTAAAGAGCAAAACGAAAAGGTGTACAGTTGGGCACATGGTAAATAATTACATTTTTACATACGCTTTTACACCTTCAAGGCACTCAACAACAACAAGGAACCACACACAAACACACACACACACACACACGCACACACACACACGCACACACACACACACACACACACAGACACCAGGGGTGAGGTGGGTTAAGTGTCTGGCCCAGGGACACAATGACAGCATTCATCTGTGGAGCTGGAATGTGGGTCCTTGCTCTGACCGCTCAACCAATGATGATTTATGTCCCAACAGTTTTGGGAAACATTGTTTTAAATGGGCACAATTTAGGAACACCCATGAAAGCCTTAACAAACCACTTTTTACTGAAATCTGTATAATTTAATTGTTTTATTGTCTTTTAGATGGCAAAAATAAATGTATATGTACCTGCATGCAATAAAAAAATGAACAACTTTAAAAATGAATCCCTAAAACCACTCACTTTTATCCAGAGATGTACAAACCACTCCACTAGGTGGCACTAAAACTATAAACTATAATAAACGATTATACACATGGGGCGAGTGGAGCTCTACTCTAGAACAGAAACATGTGACCTCCACTTTTATAAACGAGGATAGTTCTATGGGAAGTACGTATGTCTCGAAACTGCAGGCTTTTTCATCACGTGACGGACAGTTTTCCAGGACGAGGCCTATTTCAGCTGGCTAGACAATAAGTATATTATTTGACTGTAACGGAGTTAAAAATGCACATGCACATTTTTTTGTTTGTATTTCATGTTTATTTGTAATTTGTGTGAATTTTATCGTTTTAACGTTTTATTTTGAAAACCCGGAAGTCTGCACTGCTCCCCTGTGCATTTTATTTTGGTAGTTCGGCTTCCCCTCTCAGTGGCTCATTGGAAACTGCAGAGGGTGAGTTCTGTCCAAGTATAAAAGAATATATTTCACAAAATCAGCGCACGTTCAGCAAAAATACAAGAACGCATTGACAAGACAACTTCTTTTATGTGTAGTGAATGTATTGTGGTGTGCTGAATTTGAGTTTTATCTATTTTATTCTTATTGTAAAGAAAAAAAAAATTGCTTAATGTCATAGTCTAGTGCTGAGTGCCGCGAAAATTAACAGCCGTCTCACGGTGCTGTTTTCATTGTTGCAGAGGGGAGCCAGTGCTGATACCGGAGACATATTAATAGGATATTTATATGTAACAGGTATGTTTTATTTTTGTGAATGGTGTGCATTTGTTTCTCTAGATAGCTGCTCCACTAGATTTAAAATTATTTTGTTGTTCATACATTTACATACATTAGCCAGTCTGTAAGTGTAAGCTCTTTGTGGCTCGTTGGAAACTGCAGAGGAGGGGATCCAGTGCTGATACCGGAGACATATTAAAGGTTGTTATGGAGGATTTTTTTTTGTTTCAAATTGTCAATGATAGCATTATAGAGGTGCAGTAGCCTTGTAATTTTGATGACCAAAAAAAAAGAGAATAAAAATTCATCAACTCTGGACGTGGTGGGGCCAGCTAAACATTTGCCAATAGATAATGACACTGCCTCGTTATCTGTTAGCTGACAGGCTGTCAATCAATCTCCCTACGTTTCTAGCGTAACTGACTTGCCTGCGCGCCGCCGGTACGTGGTTTACGTACACCTGTCATGCAGTCCACAGACGCAAGCCGCACAGACGCTGTTTACTCCACCAACGCAACAGTTCTTTTTTTTACCTATATCTTCCTCGCAGTTAGCACAAAGTTTGTTGCAATGGCGACAAGAATCCAGGAGCAGTTCGCCGCAAAAGAAAGTCCGTTTTTGAGATTGCTGAAAGAAGAAGACAAGGGGAAAAGCAGCGAAGCCAAACTAAGGTGATTCTTGGAGATTCATTCCAGCGATGGCGCGACTGAAGCAGACGCAGGGTCTAAAGACTGACGCACTGGTCGCCAAATTACTCCTGGACAGGTCACTTCTGCTTATTATGAAAACGTACTTTATTTCCAAGAGCTAGTCAAACGTTTTTCAGGACACGAAAGTGATATCCTATGTCTGAAAACGTAATTTTCAAGGCAAAGAAAGAGCCCGCTTGCTGCTGTGTGTTGTAGCTAGTTCATTCGCACAGAATCTCCGCGCAACCTTCTCTGCACCCCTTTCCTGCTCCTGTCCCCGCTGCCCGATCCACTCTTCCCCCTGCTCCTCACTTCTCCGGGCACGGAATCTCCGCGCACCGCTCCCCTCTCCTCTCTCCCTGCTCCCTGCTCCGCTCTTCTCCCTTCTCCTCACTTCTCGTCCGCGAACGAAATGTCCGCACACCCGCTCTCCCCGCTCCTCACTTCTCCGCCTTGCCTAACCAACACTGTAGTTAGTTGTTTACAAGTCATGTGCAGCGCACCGGCTGTAAACAAACCTGTTTCTGGCGTAAAGAGGGGCGGGAGAAGGCGTTTCTACGTAGGGAGCTGTAGGGGAGGGGGGGTGGTTTCACGCATGCGCAACATTTGAAAAAGGACAAACAGTCGCTGGATTTCTCGTTCCTTGGAAAATCCTCTATACAACCTTTAATAGGATATTTATATGTCACAGGAATAAAGCGGACTGACTCCACACTGTGTCCTGTCTCCTTTATACAGCCTGACGAAGGATCAGCAACCGTTACACTGGTGCCGTGACCCCTCGGATCTCCTGATCTGCTCGACGCCGATTGCTGTGGTTGCCCTCCTGCCGTGCTGCCTTTCACCTGCACCTTGGTCTGGTTCCGCTGAGGCATTGCTAGTGCAATAGAAGGACAATTTGAGGGTGTTTATTTTCGGTTACTCAGAAAGTGAATTATTTTGGTTACACAACGCAAGTACAGTTTGAAGCTATACTTCTGTGTAATTAACATGGATGATTTCACCACTCCAGTTTTACTTAAGGGTCGAGGGTTATGGAGACATGATTCTAACGGTGGGAATGTGGGACGTCCAGCTGCAATGCCTGAGGTTTTTACGGATGTTGGTGGGTTTACTGGTGACAAGGCACAAACGTCTACTCCCAACAGTGATGTTACTGCCATTCACTTACTTACTGATATGATGGGCCAGTTAGGTCCCAGATTGGTGAGTCAATAGTGGCTAAGTTAATGTCAGCTGATATTGTTAATCTGTCCAGTGATGCTCAGACACCCACTCCCATGCTCTCCCATTTGTGACGTGACCAAATGTGACTCTCCCCATGTGACAGTGCATGTTGCACCTGACCGTGAACTACAGACGTTTAGAGGTGAGAGTACTGACAAGGTTTCAGTCCAGGACTGGATTGACATGACTAAGACTTACCTCAGGAAAAAGGGGACACTGTTGTGTGAGCAGGCTGAAGAAATCGTGGGACATTTACTGGGCAAAGGCAGGGACGTAGTTAAGATAGTCCCTCCGTGGTAACCCTGACCTTGATGCTGTAAATAAGACCACTGTAATCTACGATATTCTGCTGCGTTATTTCAGTGATTCCCCCTCGTGTCTTCCTCTTGCAGACTTTTATGCTACCCTGCTGAGACACAAAGAAAATCCTGTTGACTACTGGATAAGACTGAATAAAGCTGCTGACAGAGCACAAGAGGGTTTGCAGAGACAGGGTAATGCGACAGGCAGTTTGAATAATGAGGTGGCTCTCATGTTTGTTAAGCATTGCCCAGACCTGCAACTTTCCTCCACTTTTAAATGGAAGCCTATTCATGAGTGATCATCAAAAGATGTTCAATTGAGAATTGATGATTATCAGGGAGAAATGCGGGCAAACCAGAGAGCATATGGTGCTACACAGCTCAAAGTCCACGCTGCTGCATTGACCCCCAAACAGCCTAGTCCAGTTAACTTGCCCGATCAGTGTCAGTCAGTTAGTTGCGGTCTCCCTTCTGCTGATGTTAATGTGCAGGCACTTCATAGCTACACCAGTTTCGCCACAACCCCTGCTTCACAAGCTGTGTCCGTCCCCGTCGTAGCCCAGAACCTGCAGCAGTCAGTGGAGAGGCTCCTGAGTCGTATGGTTGAGATGTTTCAGGAGGTGTTGGATAAAGTGCAGCTGCCCAGTGCCCGTCCTGTGATTAACAGTGGACATTTTTGTGCTCGCCAACATCGTCCCAGAGAGTCAAGTTGCAGAGTGTGCGACACCGCAGGTCACTCCACGATCTCTGTTTGTCTGAGAGACTGTGCTTTGAATGTCTTGCTCCTGGCCACACTAGATCCAAATGCCCCTGTGTTACATCCTAGTCTGCCCCTCCCCAGAATCAGGGAAACTAAGTGACCTGTATCCAGTGGGAGGCAGTACAGGTCCTGTGGAACACTCCCAATCTGACTTGTTTTCTGATGCTGAGTCTGTGTATTCTTCCGCTCTAGAGTCATGCCCCAGCCATGAAACTGTCGTGTACCAGAACATGCAAAAGATAGGCAGTAGTGACAGCCTTTTCTACACTACCGTGTTGTTTGGTGGTACAGTTAAGATGTGTGGGATGTTAGATAGTGGCTCTATGACCTGCAGCATTAGCGAGAGTGCAGAACAGAAGCTCAGGAAGGCTGGTATA